CCCCCCCCCCCCCCCCCCCCCCCCCCCCCCCCCGGGAGGGGGGGGGGGGGGGGGGGGGGGGCTGTCAGAGGGCGTAATTCCTGTAGTTTCCTGATGAACAGTTAATGCGGTCAGAGAAAAGCCCACAAGGGACATTAATGCGACGCCACAGTAAAGCCGAATGCGATGACACTGAAAAAGAACAAGCTTCTGCATTAGTCCAACCAGCCCTGTAACGAGGGCCTGCCCCCCCGGGACAGGACAGAGGGGAAATCTGATATCACCTTCCATTGTGAGGTACAATTATACAAACGGCCAGACGTGCCCCCGCTTGCCTAATAAAAATTACACAGATGCTCTCGGCATCGTTTCCAAATTGCTTGTGTCTTGAAAACTCGTGCTGGTTGTACTGAACAAGCACTTCGTGGGTTTGAAAATACAATCAGGATCATTTTGAATTGTGGGACCTCGGATTGAGGTGGTTTGATGTCCGCGCGTACAGAGGGACACGGCAGCGATCACCCCTGCCGTGCTGCCCACGCTCGCCGGGTTCTGGGCCTGATGTTCCGGCCCGCGACGTGGGTGATCGCTCACTTGTCCGCAGAGACTCAAACACAATTACAGCACTTTTTTAAACCCTGTATTATTTGATCCTAATTATGGAATATTATTAAGGTATGCAAAATAAAGTTTTGTCTCGCTCTTGGCTGCGTTCTCGTAGTGTTCTTGATGAGGTTGATCTCAAAACCAGTCACACGGTCAAGCTTTTAACGAGCTATTTGTGGAAGCATATGGACAGATGTTTCAGAGTAACAGTGATTCACAATCTGCATAAGCAGTAATCTTCAGCAAATTAGTTGAAATCCAGCATGGAGAGTTAGGGTTAGGGTTTGGTGTTTGTGTTCCACAGGCCATAATAAACACTTCTGTCATTTCTGTTCACAGTCTTGAATGAGGTGTCCACAAAGATGTACAGTAGCAGTAAAACAATTTGGACACGATAGTGTAGTATCACATGACTTGGCCACCTGACAATAGAAACGGTTTTTGGTGGAGTTTGACCAGAGAGTGAAGGAAAAGCAGCCAATGAGTGCTCAGCATTTGTGGGACCTCCTTCAGGACAGCTGGCAGAGCATCCCAGGAGGCCACCTCATGGAACTGGAGTAGAGGAGACTGTAGGGTCAGCCTGGGGCAATTGGGGTTAAGGGCCTTGGGGTTAAGGGACCAATGGAGGGATCACTCTGCTGACCCAGGGATTTGAACCAGCAACCTTCTGAGTCCCAACCCGCAGAGCTGCCCCCCCTCCCAAATAACGTGTTTTTTTTGCTTAATACTTTTTGGTCAGTGCATACCACCGTATATATTGTTTTACAGTTTTGATGTCTTTATTCCACAAAGTAGAGAATAGTACAAAGAAACCTAAGGGTAGATGTGTCCAAAATTTTTTACTTTCACGCCACTTTGCGATCCCGGTTTACAACCTAGTAGTAGTACCACAGTACAAATGATTTACCACTAAATGGGGCCAATAAAGCATGATTGGGGTGAGGGGCTAGGATACACCGTCCTGCTGCAGTGTGTCAGTGACTGAGAGGTCATGTGACCGAGAGGTCAGGTGACCTTCGAGTGTGAGGAGTGGCAACACGGTCACCATGTGTGAGGTGGGAGGAGCCTGAGGCAGGTCCCTTTAAGCCTTGGTACTTTCATTATGCACATCTTCATTGTCTGCTTTAAAATTTCATGTTAAGAAAAACACCTAAAGCCACGGAAGTGTTCCAAATGCTTTGTCGTTTCCTGTGTTGTACACACACAAAAACAAAAGATGGAAATGGAAATAAAATCGCTGTTTGGCCTTTTAATGTCCCCCCCATGCGTTCCTCTGCTGTTCCTTCCATGCCCCCCCTGTTCTCAATTTACTATTTGCCTCCGTACAGCCACACTTCAGCAAAATGCATACAGATTGCGACTTATTCTACATCGAAAGACTGTCAAGATGCTTATAAGTACATTTCTTAGCTCCGTAATCATGGCTGAAGTAAAACTGTTTAAGGGAGGAAAAAAAAAACATCAAAGAAAAGATTTTAACAGACCATTAAAATCCATAAAAAATAGTTTATTGGTCTCATGTTGTTTCTGTATTTACCCTTTTCCATTACTAATTTCTCCAGTCCTGCTATACAAGAACAATATTATTCTTTAGTATTTCAACAGATCTGTGAGGACAGGAGGAAGTGGTTACTTGTCACAACAATGGAAAAAGGGCTGGACAGCGGCCAGAAAACAGCCACCGCCCTCGACCCCGAACCTGCTCCTTTCTCAGTACCAGAATTCTTTTACCCATCCCAAAGTCAACACAGCTCTGTCTGAAAGTACCAGGGGAACAAAGCTGATGATGGCATTTGAAAAGCGGCGCGCGTGAAGAGATTTCTGCAAGGACGAGGCCGAGAACAAGAGCAGAGACTCAGAGCCTAGGACCCAAGGCGTCTGTAGTGCAAACAAGAAGAGACGTCTGAGGGACCCGCGGGAGTCAAACGAACCACGTAAGCAGTGACAAAGACCAGGAGCTTCTGGGCCCGTCGGCCTGGTTTGGGCTGATTCTGAGCGGCCATGGCTATTGGCGCCGGACACAAAGTCAAATCTCTCTGCAAAACATGCCTTCATGAACATCTTAAATTACCCATGACCCCAAGCCAGGTCACAATCCTAGAGTGGTCACTATAAAAAAAAAAAACCCTTTATTTACATTTCAAAATGTTTAACAGAAACCTTTATTAAATGTTCATTTATAGACTATCATGCTTGTTGTTTAAACTGAGGCAGCACACCTAATATATTTCAGGTATGGGATTGTCTGCCTGAGTACCCAGCCCCCGACCGAAAGGCACAGGCGGGCCCCTGGGTACCATCACAGCCGTGCCAAACAGCAATACAGGTTGATTTAAAAAAAAATAATAAATCCAATCTGAGCGCTGGCTTCAGCACCTCACACTGAGAATTAAAATAAAAAAAAAATACTGATAACTGGCCACAATGACAGCCGATCCCACATAAATATTCCCAGCTGTCAGCCACTTGTTGCGAAACCCAGCAGTTCAAAGTCCCAAGTGGTCAGCCTCTGTGTCACGGAAAAACAAGGCAAAGAAAAGAATTTTAAAAAAATGATTCAGTGTCTTTGGACTTGCGTTTCACCCTGACTGGGCCTCTTACACCCTTTGTCACCAAAAGGTCAAAGTACCACATGGCCAGGGTCATGTTCTGCTCCGTCCCATAAAATAAGAAATAAAAAACACCACCACACCAAGCGGAACTGCTCTCCTCTTCGTCACGGCCCACGTGAGGCCCTCCATCTTCACGCGCTGCGTCCGGGACGTTTGCCGCTTCAGATAACCTCATATACTGTGGCCTTTTTGTCCCCGGAACCGGTGACGATGAACTGGTCGTCGGCGGAGATGTCACAGCTGAGCACCGAGGAAGACTCCTTCGACTGCGGGGAAGGAGGGCAGAAGGGACGTTGAGAGACACGTGCCGATATTCCAGCCCTACAGACACATCACTCCGCCACGATCCCTGCTGGGATTATTTAGCCATATAAACCACCGGAAGATATTAAAGTTCCAAGCAGGCGGAATTTCAGTTTGCTGTTACTCACTGACTGGTTTAATTCAATGGGAACCAAACTCAGTACCAATGAAAAGTGAGTCAAACCAGAGATTAACAGAGCGTGGAAATCTCACAAACCGCAAGTTCTGGAGTCTAATCTCTCACGACTAAAAACATTTCATTTTACTGCCTAACAATGTATCTACACATTTGAATGTTTTTCCTCCTGAATAATATCCCTATAGTCAGTTTACACACCAGGCAGGTCATCTTACTCTTTGTAAACTGAAACCTCTGGAAGGTCCCCCCCCCCCCCCCCCCCACCCCCACCCCCACCGCTGACCCACTGGCCGTGTGCTGTTCCCAGCTGGCACACCAGGCAGGGTAAGTAGACTGAC